TGATCCATGAAAGTCATTTGAAACATTAGAAATCCGACTACCTTTGTAAAAACTCAAACCCTAATTTGAGGCATCAGTGCTGAGGAAATTATTTGACCACTTGTGCAAACTTGAGGTATTGAAGATCTTTGTATGAACTATCTTGAGAAATGAGAGGGAAAATTTTGGGGTATAACAGGTTCCAAAAAGTATTCATAACATTTTTGTTCAGCACCTAAATCATATGTTCTTCAACTGATAGTTGCATACCTGCTTAAATAATGTTCTAACACCTCATAGAACATCAATTCCTTTTTCTTGGAACACACCATCCTTGACAGTCTTCAAGGTCAATATGCATATGTATATGATCATCATTGATCAATTGATTATCATCAACCTTATCGATAAATGTCTTTATGAGTGGACTTGAGGAGAATCTCAAGTATCTTTGACACTTTTAATACGCTTGAAAATGTCAGCATATATTCTGTTGAGGGTAACAACCCTAGTATCCTTTCCATATTTTCAGGGTTATATCAGAAGTCATGCAGCTGAATATAACGAACTCCTTAACAATATTAGACACAATGCTTACATCATTATCCAAGTACAAGCATGGCAACCTAGGATTGAAAAAAATAAACCCTACATACAATAGTTTCCCACAAGTTACAGGCCTGGCGGCAACAGCCAGGAACAATACATGTCACATATAACCAATGTACCTTGCCCAGAGATCATCCATACAATAGTATGAATTGTCTAAGTTCATACCTCTTTTCAGTAAATACTTTCTTCCTTGCCCATGACCAGAAAGTACCTTTCCAGGATCTCACCCAGAGCAGAACAGGATGTCGGCTCTGATACGATTTAAAATTCTGGTACAACAGATTAAGATGTCCTACAAGGATGTCGAAACATTTGATCTATAAACACACAGACAAGATAAAACAGTACTGAAAAGATAAAGAACACACAAGAATTATTTACCCAGTTCGGTGTACAACAACACCTACTTTGGAGGCTAACAAGCCAGAAATGAAGTCCACTATCAACAGTATCAATTTGCAGACCCTACAATCAACACATCCGTTGACGATCTACGCACTTAATCACTACCCAATGACCCTTCTACCTAGGTCCTCCCTAGATATGGAATATCCCCATCCCACTTCCAATTATCGCAATGATGTCTAGCAGTCAACACTTCAGTCACTACATAGACGGTCCTTCACCAAAATTCTGATCACACAGATAGACAGTTTAGAAGACACGCTTTCATGACAACCTAGATAAGTCTCCAAACCAAACTCCATTGTTTGTTAGCTCTGCTCCTAACTAAGAACACATCATAGAGTTGCTTCAAAGCTTCCTCCAAGAACAATACACCTCTTACCTACAGACTTCAAGGTGAACTTGATAACCTTCCCACAATCCAGGAGGTTTACCTTGACAAAATCCTAGACTTCTAAATCTTGAGCCGTGTGTTTTCTAGGTTACAAACCCTTCTATTTATAACCTGTTACCCAACTGATTTTGAGCCTTCAATCACAGCAAATCAGCTGTAACAAACTGCATAAACTTTTGTCCTAAGAAAGGTCTTCAATCTTTACTTTCTTAAATAATCTCCTTATTTAGAAAATCTTCATTCTCCTTGATTTCTGGTTGAATTTTCTAGACCTTTAAATATGCCACATAGGATGCATAATATTCTCTTGAATATTCTGCTTATGTTAAGAACAAACTGAATCTCATTAATCCAGCTCAACAGGCGCGATGTCAAGACATCTTCTTCGACATGTTGTTCCAGTTGTTGAAAAAGTTCGACACAACATGTTCTCACATTGTAATAGGACTTCTTGTTGTACCTGTTCTTCTTATCCTATTCTACATTACATTATTGCTGCTATTATTTGTTTTACGAAAATTAAGCCAATCCTAAAACAAGAGAACTAACAATAAAGTTTGGATAACTCTCACCTTCCAAAATAGTTTTGTAAAATTGAGTTAGACCAAACTACAATTTTGAAATGGTATCAGAGTCTATCATGGATCCTATGTTGGACTTCCCGTGTCGTCCACACTTCCATAGGAGCACTAACGTGAGGGTGTGTTGGAAATTCTACCTTCATCGCAGTCCGCCTAATTGCGGAATTTATATTGCCTTCATTGTGCTGGGTGTGAAGAGGTGAGTTTAGTCCCTCGTTGCTTAGAAATATGGCATGTAATGTTTATAAAGCTTGGACAACATCAACTTACAAACCGATTTTGTAAAATTTAATTATGCACAACCCAAATTCTAAGATAAACTCGTTTTGTAAGATTAAATTAGGCTCAATCCAAATTCCAAGACATACATACTATCAAATGAAATAAAACAAAACATTGACCACCTTAAGAATTAAGAGCAATTCTGTAATATATTATTAGTTAAGGGGAAATCTAGGTCAACACCCTCCTATTAATTTTTGCTTTCAATTCCAATAAGACAGTTATCCCTGATTCAAATACAAATTTCAACTTTACATCAGAGTAAGTTGCATAGCATCTCTAGTAAAGTCAGAAGCTTTTTTCTATACTAATCAAACTTCAAGTTCAAAAGTTAATAAATTTGCACTTGGAAAATTTATAAAAGAATAAAATAGAACTTTTGAAAACTAGATGGCAGTCCTTCCCCATTTCAGATGTTGATTACCAGTTTCAACACAAGGAATAGATTTAATAATGGAGTATATTTCAACTCAAAAAGTTAGGCTTTATGTATACATAATTGATGTGTAACAGGACAGATAGTTGAAGCATGGATGCAAATAACAACAGAAAAATACCTTGTATTGAGAATAAGGATGACCCCTTTGTTGTGAACTATCTATATGGTACTTTGCTCTGAGAATGAAACAAATGAAAGCAGTTATAGTTGTTGAATAGTAAAGCTGAGAAATTACCTGTGACTTTCATAAATCTCGAGATAACTTTTTCAATCGATTCACATTCTCAACATACAGCCAAACATCTTCGCACCCCAGTCCAATCATGTTTGACCATTAGTTACCAATCTACTTGTTCTTATGAATGGAACAGAATCAATCAATATTACATCCAGCTTGAAGTTGAAACTATTATAAATCTGAAAACTCTAGTGCTTTAGCATGAAGAGAAAGAAAACAGCTTTTAATTTCAACCCCTTCATCAAAATGGAGGGACTTTACACTGTACTGTCGTATTATGCTTTAGAAACACGAATCTTTTCTATTCCTCAGCTTTCTTTTCCTTCATAAGTTGGGTGGCAAGCCTTAAGCCTCATGATATTTTATGGTATTGGCTTATCATTACTTTAAAATGAACACTAAGTTTCTATGCATCAGCTGTTGTTAAGTGACGATCAAATAGAGAATGCCATACTATGTTAACTTATTAGGTAAAAAAAAATTCTCCTCCCTAATTTTGTCAGTAACTCACTTTAAAAATGAAAATCATGCTAAAATAAAAATTCATCATCTTCTGTGTGGCATGAATTTTGCAAGATAGTAATGTGAGCCAGGGTACAGTTACTAGAGTGGGTGGAATTCCTTCACAGTTCATAACAAAAACTGGAATTTTATGTTGACGCCAAAATAAAAGAAGAAAAGATGATACCCCTCTCCACAACAGTTACTATATTTGAGATCTCTCTAATTGATTTACAAACATGCATTTCATTGGCTTCAAAAATTAAAAGACAAGGGTATTCATAAGTTAAGACAAAGCTGAGCTAGAAACATGAATATTTTCTATCCCTTCATTTTCTTTTCCTTCATAAATTAGGTGGCAGGCCTTATGACTCGAGGGATAAATTGACATGTCATCTCCCTTCCTTTCCATTTACTTTCCACAACAAAAAGATTTAGATATGCTTTCTATGCCCATAATAAACAAAAATTCAATTTTAGCCTAGTTAATTATTGTAGGGTACATGTAAGGGATGCTGCATATTATAGTAAAGTGATGATCAAGTAGAGAATGCCATATTATGTTAACGGATTAGGTCAATTTTTTCACTCTTCCCTCACTATGTCAGTAACTCAATTTAAAAATGAAAATCATGCTAAAATAAAAATTCCATCACCTTCTATGTGACATGAATTTTGCAAGAATCAAAATAGCATTGGGAGCTAGAAGGTACATTTACTAGAGTGTGTGCAATCCCTTCACAGTTCATAGCAAGAAATGACAGCCTTATATTGATGCCAAAGTAATCCTGCAAAATGGCATATTACTCATAAAAGAAGAAAACATGATACCCCTCTCCATAACAGTTACTTGTGTTTGGAACCATGGTTGTCAGTCAAATGTGCAATCAAGCAAAGTGAACACAGACACACGACACAATGAGATGTCTCTTGCTGACAGAGTTCTAAACCAGTGTTGTCGATGGCGGATAACAGTCCATGGCGGAGAGCCAAAATCCCTCCATACCGGCCGCTTTGCGGTGCAGCTATAGCGGATTATGGAGGAAAAACCCGCAATAGCAGCCGATATTTACCATTGAGGCAAGCCTAAAAACCGCCATGTATATCTGCCATGGCGCCGCTATTTGATAACACTGTTCCAAACCTGCCTCAACCTTCCAAGAAATGAGAATCTTAGAATCTATGAACTACCATTTTGTCAAGTTGTTCATGTCAAATCAAAACTGAATTCTTGAGTTTAGTAACCCATTAGAGAAATCTCAAAGGTACAACAACAGCTGCACTTGCGATCTCTTTAATAATTTTTCAAACATGCATTTCATTGGCTTCAAAAACTTAAAGACTAGGGTTATTCACAAGTTAAGAGTTAAGACAAAGCTGAGCAAGGCAAACAGAATAAGAAGTATAAGTAACAAAGAAGGGTTTTCATGAGTAAAGACACTTAAATGTCAGATTTTACATAGAAGTGAGTATTTCACCAGATATACAGCGGCTCAAATACACAGATCTACCGACTTTTTTTGCAATTTTATTTTTCTAATTTCTTTTTTTTTTCTTTTTTTTTTAAACTTAATGAGTACTCTGTCCATTCTCAAGACCTAACCCATACAATACCCCTGCATATCTTTCCAAAGATCCACTAAAGAAATTTTCTTTCAATTTCATGAATGTACACGACGTGAGCAAACTGTCGGAGCCCGCTTGATGACAAACCCCAACTCTCTCAACCTCCAACAACTCCGCAAGCTTGTTCAAGCCTCCATGAAGACTATTGCAAAACCTCATCAAATGTTTGATATCATACACAGTAGGGAAATACATGTTGATCAAATTAAAGAACCCAACTTGTGTTTCAGGCAAATCCTGACAAGTCAATAACTTCAACAAATAACCAAAATCATACCCACTGTGAAAAGTCACCCAATGAACACTATCATTCAAAACAATCCCAGAAGACATCAAAAGCTCGCCGAATCTCCTGGCATCAATCCCGTTCTCGTTATTCTTCTCGAAATCAATCCCACACTGTCTCAAAAGCTCTATTGAATCATTCGCAAAAATATCCTCATTCACATTGAACTCTCTGAAATTGAATTGCCAGATACAGAACAACTTATCATCGTCATCCTTATGGCTGAAAGTCGGAAGGTTGCCTTGCTCATCGGAGAAAGTGAGCCCCAATTGAATAAGCTTGAGCATGTCCACGTTGTCTTTTAGGGTTTGATAATGAAAATCGTAACTGTTCTTGAAACTACCAACCGGACGAAGAACAATTCCAGGGAATTCTGTATCCATTGCTATGTAAGGATAAGCATCGACGATTTCCCGGATTAAAGCGAACTCTGCTTCAAGATTATCGTTCCACACTTCGCGAATCTGAATGGAATCGCTTTGCGGTAAACCTAGCGGCATCACAATCTTCTTACCATAAAATAATGAAAAATTCACCGGATCTGTTGAATACCCAATTCAATTAGTGTCAAGAACATGCGATTGCATATGAAAAGATCGAAAATTGATGAAAAATAAATGAAGATTAAAATTGGGAATGGATTCGAACCTTGAAAATTGGAAATTTGAATTGAATGAGGGAAAGATTGGGAAGTGTTGAGAGAGAATGGAGAGAATGGGGGAAGATAGAAGGAAGAGATTTTTTGGGTATGAAATCTCTCCCGTTCTAGGGTTTTCTTTTTTGTTTTTATTTTATTGGTTATAAAATGGGAGAAAACAGAACAAGGAAGATATTTTGACGAAAATCAGAGGTGGAATTTCTTTTTTTTTTCTTTCTTTTTCTTGCTTTGCTTCTTGTCTAATTTCCTTTTATTTTATAAAATATTTCTCACATGTTTCTTTCTTATGGACAGTTGGACTTTCGTTTAGATTATGGATTAATGAAACACGTGAATTCTCTAGTTTTAGGATTGATATTAATTTTTGTAAAATAAATAAAGTAGTAAAATGTTAGATAGGATATATTAATTTGTTTATAGAAATAGGTAGAGCAGGAAATCATATCTTATGTTTGGGACATGTTGAGTTGAAGTGTTTCGACATCTGAAATAACATGTCGAATAAGATGTCCTAAGAAGGAGTATACGACATCGCGTCTGAGTTGAAATGATTCTATTAAATCTGTTATGATTTAACAAGTGTGAAATATTCAGAGAATATTATGCAATCCTATGTGGCGCTGAATTAAATGTCAAGAGAATCAAGTCGAAATATTGAAAATTATGTAGTTTCTAAATATGGAAATTATTTAGGAAACCTATGATTAAAGACATTGTTTGTAGCAGAAGTTACTGCTGGTTTGTAACAGCTGATTTGTTGTTATTAGAAAGCCCAAGTCTAGTTAGAAATAGATTATAAATAGAAGGATTTGTAACCTAATTTGACACGGATTCATGATGTAAAAGTCTAGGGTTTTGTCATGGTGAACCATTCGGGTTGTGGGATGGTCACCATGTTCTCACTCAGAAACCTATAGGTAATGAGTTAAGTATTGTTCTTGGAGTGAGCTTTGAAGCAACTCCAAGTTGTTGCTCTTGGTTAGGAGAAATGTTGTAAACGTGTGAGTTTAACTTTGAGTCTTAGCTAGGTATGGTCATGGAAGTGTGTCTTCTGGTTTGTTTAGAATTTTGTTAATTCAATCACTGTTTGTGATTGATGAGGGATTGAGGAGGGCCTCATATGTAGGTGATTCTTAGATAGAAATCTAGCGAGGGTAATGATTAAGTGCTTAGTTGTAAACGGGGAAATTTAGCTTTGAATTGATACTACTATTAGTGGATTTGTCTCTGACTTGGTATGTCCTCAGAGGTTGTTCCGAACTGGGTTAATAATTTTGTGTATTGCTTATGCTTTTCAGTACTAGTTTTAATGTTTATATCTTGCATGTATTATTTGTCTCAGATTAGATGTCTTGACATCCTCTTAGGATATCTGGAGTCTGACCTACCAGATTTTCAAAACATAATGGAATGGAGGGGAATACATTATAATCGAATATAGTGGAATGAAATATATATTTCACTTAATTGTTTAGATAATTATTCTAATATTTTATACTACGCAATCAATTGTAATTTTGATTTTACAAAAATAGATTGATGTTGTAAATGTGATTTATTCGGTGATGTTTAAGTCTGATAAACGTAATCAATAATAATATACTTTGAATATTAATTTTAATATGTGTATGATAAAGTGTAGGCCCTACTTCTAAGATATATGATTGGTGATTTTAGGGTTTTACATTTTGTAAATAGATATGTTATGTCTCTTTGTCATCACATTAAAATATGCTCATTTGAGGTTTGCCCAATTCAAAACCCTAAATATTGAATCATGTGATCAAGAAAAGGAAACATTTGTCTAATATTTTGATCATTTTGAAGAATTTATTACCATGTTTCAACAAGTAAGTGTGTTATAATATCATGTGTTATGGGTGTTCGCAGTGATTTTTGGCGAAACAACCGCCAGTCTTCCAAACAAATTTGATATGTACGGTTACTTGCAGGATCGACTAGATTGATCCTAGGACATTGTCTTAACATTAATTGTAACACTTTCTTGAGGGCTTACGTAAAATATGATGTGATACTTGTGCATGTGTTTGTGTAAAGGCTTGGAATGCAAGACTTCTGAAATTAAATTCAAATGTAAAGGTTTAGACGAATCGTCTTAATTAAACAAAAAAAGTTTGAATGTAGGAATTAAATGACTTGATTGTAAAGAAAAAGGCCTTTTGAAAGGAACTTGATTTATAAAGCTTTGCAGGAAAGTAAAACAATTCGACAGAACATAAAGAATTTAACAGAACATAAAGAATTTAAGAACAATTGCAGGAATATGTAAAAGAATGGTTTGAAAGAAAATTATGTTGATAAGTGCAATTCAAAGATAAAATTGTGAGGTCATACGTACATTCTCAACGAAACTCTTTCTCTTTAACTTGGTACTTGAGTATTTTGTGAGTAACTTTGTACGAATTATGACCTTCTTTTCGCTAACACTAAGGAGCTATTTATAAATGTTCTAACCATAACGGTACTATTCTAAGAAAAGGCCACGTTGCTTCTTGCATGTCTTTCGACACTATAAGGCTTCCACGCGTCCTTCTTATCTAAAGAAACTATCTTCGAATTTCAAATAATCCCGCCCAAGCCTTCAGCAATGACTTTATCACGTGACCTTCGAAAACGCGCGCCCTTTGACAAAATAAAATACTTATCTTTTCAAACTATCTTCGACTTAGATCCAAATATATTTCGACTATAGCTCTTTTTCAAGCCATCTTATGGAAATTTAAAATGTAAGAGTTCCTTTATTAACCTGGTCGAAATTCTCAGCTAACAATAGGTCTCTCACAAATCCCAATACAAAAGGCTCAAGATCAAAGAAAGGAAGCGCTTGCGTGAAACTATTATTCCTTTATCCTCACCCAGAATATATGATTATGCGTCAGAAGCATTACCAACTATTCAAGATCAATTAGTTAATAGGCATCGTTATCCATTCGGTATGGGAATAACAAGTCACTCTAGTCGAACATGTGTAGATAATGAGTCCAGATGAAAGTCGAAGTTAGCTTCTGCATCCCTTGCAGTCGATAAGTTACAGACACATCGCTTGGTTAAATTCAATTCAATGCATATGTAATGCTATGATGAACTACTATGATGTACGACATTATTCGATCATAAAATAAATTAATTTTCACTAAAGTGTCTCTTTTATTTGTGATTATAATGGTAACAACAAGTTGCGAGCATTATCATAAATGCCATTGGTGTACGATCAAAGCAATCAAGGTTCCATTACAAATGACTATATGGTGTTATCACATATGCCACATATGTATGTGTTGGCTCCTGAATTCGACACCTACTATATATTGGTCTTATAGACCAAAAATGAAACAAATAAAGCCAAGTTGGAGAATGTTTCGACGGATGGAAAAACTTAGAGAAAATATCTAAGTTACATATTGGTCTTCAACCAGGAATCACCTTCGACTAGAAGAACATACCTTTGTGTCGACACCAAAGGCGAAGGACATTTGAATTTGAATTGTTGGAGGGAAAGACGGTTTCGCTAGAATTTAAAGGAAAGCAACGTGGCTGGAAGTTAGAGGTCGAGGGACATACAGAGGACACTTGTCTTCATCTTAGAGCAAAGCCACCCCTCGACGGTTACATAGTTTTAGTATAAAATAGGAAGTTTGTGTAGTTTTTCCGTGTGTTCAACCTATTGTGCTAATTACTTAAATATTGTCCAAGTACCCGCTGTGTGTGAAAGGATAAACTGAGAAATGTACGTTGGAAACACCACTTTTCATTAATAAAATCTTTTTACATTGCTTTGATCTTATTTTGCAAAGTTACTTTTCCTACATCTTTATCTGCATTTCTATTAACTTTCTTACTTTCCAAAACCACAAGCATCTTGTCTTTGGTCGAACATGCGTTCTTCCTAGATATCTACGGTAACCAAAAGGACTTTCCTTTTTGGAGGATCAACAGTTGTTTACCAAAAACCACGGTAAACAAATTGGCACGCCCAATGGGACGTTGCTAATTTTTATCACATATCTTGTTCATGTTATTGATGGGTTTAATCTGTAACGTATAGCCTAAATGTAGTACTGCAAGTGTACAGCCTATCGAAGTAATATATAAGATTATCGAACCACAGAGACCAATTGTCAATTTATCAACTCTATTGCTAAGGTGCTTATCTAAGGCGAACAAGAATATTGATGTGAGTGCAGTGCACAAAGTAAATGAGCGAGGTAAATAATAGTTTAAAAGACAGGTTGGAATGTAAATCATGTAATCAGATATTGGTCCGGTCATGCGTAGATGAACCTACTTATGGGGCAGTATTTTCTATTGATAGCAAAGAATCAATTTAACGGGAACTTGTAGCTTTTGACTACTAAGAACCGAGTTTACTCTTTAAATTAAATTCCTTTATTGTCACATATAAAGGGTGCCTTCCGCGTTAAAGAGGTAAACCTATTTTTAAGAAATTGATAGTTTTGACTTAACAGAAAAGTGATTTTACTTGGAAAGATTAACTTAAAGAGACTTTTGGCTTTTGACCAAGAGTCGGATTTCAAACCTACAAACGCGTCCGAAAATAGTTTCAAAATCGTTTTCTAAAAAGGTTAATGATTCCTATTTAACCAATCAACGGATTTCACTCTTTTTGTTTGGTTAAATAATAATCAAGTCGTATCATTAGTTTGGACGGCTTTCGATCTTACCCAATAAACATTTAAACACAATTGACTTAAGTTAGAAGCAAAACATCCCCAGAGTATTTTCACTAGCATGATAATTGGAACACGACCATGATGACAATCATTACATCCTAACCTTTATAGTTTAGCCAGACATAATAAGTGCGAGTCTATAAAACGTGTAGACTATGGTAAGAGCATTTAAAGTCTATAAAACGTGTAGACTATGGTAAGAGCATTTAAAGTCTATAAAACGTGTAGACTATGGTAAGAGCATTTAAAGTCTATAAAACGTGTAGACTATGGTAAGAGCAATTAAATAAAGAAATGCAATAAAATAGAACCTTGCTTCAGTCGAAGACTTGAATCTGATACAAATCTACGGAAAGGTAAGGCTGGTATGATGAACTTCAACCAAAGTGCTCCAAGACTCGATTACAACTCAATCTACACCGAAATAACTCCCCGATGTGAAGAGATTATCACTTTACAGAAACTGATAGTATATGGCTTAAGATTGTACTAAGCTTGGATGAAACTAAAGAATGAAAATCGAAAACTATTTATAGAGGATCCTTGAGGTGCGTAAAGACCAGCATGCCCCTTAACTTCTTTTGAGCGGGAAGCTTTTTGTGAAGGTCGCGGGTGCGGTGGGGGTGGCCGCGGGTGCGGTGGCTGGAACTGCCACATCATGGGAACGTGGCAGTTGATCTCTGGGTGAAAGTGGGCCACGTCATCGCGTTCCCTGTAGCCAGCGCGGCGCTGAACGCCATAAGTGCAGAATATCTTGAAAAACCCTAATTTCTTGGCGTTTTGGCTTGTTTCTTCACAGAAGGCTCTGAAATGACAAGAATCCTGAAAACAAAGGAAAAAGGAACATAATACGAGAAAATGACAATAAAAACTAAGGAAAACATGTGATATTTGAGTCAGAAACATAGTGCGATTCAGTGCGATCAAATCCTCCCACGCTTAGACCTTTGCTTGTCCTCAAGCAACAACTCTTAGAAGTAGATGAAAGAAAATTATGGTGTATACAGGTTTTGGGCAAAGAGGGCTTCTAAGTCCGAGTAAGGGTGTGTTGTCAGGCACTAACTATCTGAATCAAGGGTATCGTAATTACACTACTCGCAAAAATGCGGACATAAACCTCATAAGTATACAGATCGATCCTAATATCCTTACTATGCTAAGACTTCCTTTTTTACGAGGTCCTTTTTCATTCAGGCGCAATCACATTAAGCCCGTTATCCGTACATACTCATGGTGTAGTGACCGGTTAGTGACTCTGATCTCAAGTGATGGGATTCTGGTACAAGAGTTGGTTTAATCCCTTTTTATTTTACCCATTTGCAGTTGCGGGGGATCGGACCGTAGTCCGCCCTACCAAGTCCAGCACCAGATACCTGTGGACCAACTACAACGGATATGCCTTATATATTTTTTTTCTTTGCTTTTGTTAGTGCTTACAACTTTCTTGAGTTGAGTAATCTTTGTGAGGATCACCCAACTCGTAGTCGTATTCATACTTTATTTTATAACTTTTAAGGCAAAATAGAGATCATCCACTTATATTCATCGATCCCACACTTAGAGCATGCTTAGGCCGGAGCTGACTGCTAAGATAAACTACTTGAAGACCTATTTGTACAGTTTTATTCAAAATCATAGCATATTGGGGAGAAAGGATCTAATCTAAATGTTCAAAAAGGCTTACGGTGTAAAAACGATAACGAATTTTTCAAAAAGTGAGTGTCCAAGAAATAGACCCTATCTAGGACCTGTCTCATAGCCCAAATCCTTAAAAACAACCATAAATCTTTGAAAAAGAAAAATTTTGTAAGGCTAAAAGGTGGGGGAAATGAAAGGGTACACTACGCAGAAAGACTCGCCTATCACATGCATTTTATTAACTACGAATATAACATACCTAAAAGGAAAAATGCGGAAGGGAAATAAAAGCAGGAAAAACGGAAAATAAAAGCGGAAAATAAAAGCGAAAACGGGAAATAAAAGCGATAAATGCTCCTCCCACACTTAAATCAGACATTGTCCTCAATGTTCCAAAATAAGGTAGGAGGAGGTACCTAAAAACACTAGTGGGGGCCACTAGGACCTTCACCATCCTGGTTGGTACGACCGGAACGGCGGCTACGGCTGC